CTGTACAGACACTCAGTCCAGCTCCTCTGTATCTTCACATGAACACTCCTTCATCATCATCAGAGCTGTAGAGTCACTGTAGAGACACTCAGTCCATCTCGTCTGTAGCAGTCATATCAGTGGATTAATTGAAGTTGTTCAGCTGTAGAGTCAGTGAGAGGGGAATCAGGGGGAGACAGTTTCTCTGCTTCTGCTCTTTCTCATCTATCACTCTTTCTTCCTCTTTCCTTGCCTCCTCTCTCTCTCTCACCCTGTTTCCTCTGTTTTACAGCCAGACGAATCCAGTGGGCCCAGTGGCCTCCTCTTGTGTGTAAGCTGTCTGGTGTTGTCACTTTCTCCCCTCTCTCCGGCTCTCCCTGCCTCCCTCTCCCTGGCTCTCACTGGGGACACTAATTAGGCTTGGACCCTCTTTGATGTTGTCGCCTTGGCAACAGTCACAGTGACGATGCTGGGTCAGGAAACAGTTTTGGGAAATGAGGGATTTGTATACTCTAACACACACACTGACACACAGTGGCACACACACTGACACTGGCACAGCCTTTACTGACGTACAGTGGCACACACACTGACACACAGTAGCACATACACACTGACACTGATACTGACACAGTTGCACACACTGACACTGGCAGAGACTGATACTATCGTACAGTGGCATACACACTGACACTGGCACACACAGACACACAGTGGCACACACACACTGACACTGATACTGAGACACAGTGGCACACACACACTGACACTGGCACAGACTGATACTGACACACACTGGCACACACTCACTCTGACACGCAGATACACACACGGTGGTAAACATGCTCAGTGGCACTCACTAACGGCGATAAACATAGCCTGGCACTCACTGACACTGACATTGACACTGGCACACACTCACTCACTGACCACACAGACACACACAGTGACTCGCACTCACTGGCGCACACACTCACTCTTCCTTTCTCAGCCCATGTCCGATGTCTGTTAAAAGGCTGTGTCGTGTAGCTGTCAGTGTGGTTTCCTCAGGGCCAGTAACAGAAGTAAGACTGTAGTTTGTCTACAGCTTCCTGCTCCACTCACCTGAAGAGGAGTTTCCCTGCCAAAGTGATGTCATCTTTCCCTCTGTCTCACTGCCCCGCCCCATCAGCTGTTCGTCATTGACAACGGCGCGGACGACTGGCGCATCGCCATGACAACGGAGCGCATCCTCAGCATCGCGCTGGAGCTGCTGGTGTCAGCTATCCACCCGGTGCCGGGCGAGTACAAGTTCCACTGGCGCGCCCGCCTGGCCTTCTCCTACACGCCCTCAGTGGCGGAGGCAGACGTGGACATCGTGCTGTCCATCCCCATGTTCCTGCGACTGTACCTCATCGCCCGCGTCATGCTGCTGCACAGCAAGCTGTTCACCGACGCCTCCTCGCGCAGCATCGGCGCCCTCAACAAGATCAACTTCAACACCCGCTTCGTCATGAAGACCCTCATGACCATCTGCCCCGGGACCGTGCTGCTGGTCTTCAGCATCTCCCTGTGGATCATCGCCGCCTGGACGGTCCGCGTGTGTGAGAGGTGGGAGGGGGGAGAGGGGTGAGGGAGGGAGGAGAGAGAGGGGGTGAGGAACGAGGGAGGGGGGAGAGAGAGTGAGGGGTGAGGAATGAGGGAGGGGTGAGGAATGAGAGAGGGGGTGAGGGGTGAGGGAGGAGAGAGAGGGATTAGGAGGGGAAGGGGAGAGGGGATGTGGGAGAGAGGGAGTAGAGGAGTGAAGAGAGGAAGAGGATGAGTAGGAGGAGAGAGGGAGGAAGAGGGAGAAAGAGAGAGGGAAAGAGAAAGAGGAGACAGCAGGAGGAAGAGAAGAAGAAAGTAATGAAGTAATAGCACACTCCCTCTCTCTCTCAGGTACCACGATGCCCAGGACGTCACCAGCAACTTCCTGGGTGCCATGTGGCTGATCTCCATCACCTTTCTGTCCATCGGCTATGGAGACATGGTCCCCCACACCTACTGTGGCAAAGGGGTCTGTCTGCTGACCGGCATCATGGTGAGAGAGAGTGAGCACTGTCTGCTGTCTCTCTTTCTGTCCCCCCCCCACCTCTCACTGCTGTCTCTGACGTCATGGCATGCTGTGAACCCCTCACCTCTCACCTCTCACCCTTCACCTCCCACCCCTCAACTGTCACCCTTCAACTCTCACTCTTAACTCCTCACCCTTCACCTGTTACCTTTCACTTCTCACCCTTCACCTCTCAACTCTCACTCTTCACTCCTCACCTTTCACCCCTCACCCCTCACTCCTCACCTCCCACCCCTCACCTGTCACCCTTCAC